ATGGGGACACCCCCTCCCCTCCAGGGGACAGGATCAGGACCCTGGGGAGGCCCCCACTGCCCCCCCCCTTGTCCCATCCTCCCTCCTAAGGTGGCGACCGGCCAGGGTATAACATTACCTCTGACCTTCCTGGGGGGCAACCGCAGCACCCGTTTCCCAGCCCACCCCCGCCAAAATGGAGGAGAAATCACCCAAAATCCCAGGTAGAACAAGGTGGGGAGGGGGTGGGGGTGAACTGGTGTTGGGGGGGAAACACACAAACCTGCCCTAAGGGGGGCAAATACCCCCCCCCCACAATGCACCTGTTCTGCCCCAGATTGGGGTGCAGGAGGGGTTTGGGGGTGCAAGAGTCAATTTGGGGGGGGGGCTAAACACTGATGTAGCCCCCCCCCAACAGCCTCGGTACCCCAATTTACCAACTGCCCCACCATGGTGGTCCTGGTGGGGTTGCCAGCCCGCGGCAAGACTTATATCTCCCATAAGCTCACTCGTTATCTCAATTGGATCGGCACCCCGACACGGGGTGAGTATTTTTGGGGTGTAGGGGGCGGTTTATGGGGGGGGGAGGGTTTTGGGTTCCCCCCCACCCCCCCCCCCCCGCCCCACAGTGTTTAACGTGGGGCAGTACCGGCGCAAAGCTGTGCAGAGCTACAAGAACTACGAGTTTTTCCGTCAAGATAACGAGGAGGCTATGCAAATCCGCAGGTTAGAGGAAGGTGGGGGTCTGGGGGGGTTTGGGCATTTTTGGGGTACACTTTGGGGGGAGGCAGAGCTGATGGCACCCCCTCAAAATTTCCCTCCCCAGGCAATGTGCATTGGCTGCCCTTAAGGACGTCCGCAACTATCTGAGCTCCGAGGAGGGGCAAGTGGCGGTAGGAGACACCCCCCCTTGCACAAACTACCCCCCCACTTTTTTTGGAGGGGGTCCAAACTGCCCCCCCAAACCCTCAGGTGTTCGATGCCACCAACACGACACGGGAACGCCGGGCCCTGATCCTGCAATTTGCCAAGGAAAATCACTACAAGGTACTGGCAGCATAATTTTTTGGAGGGGATGGGGGGTGTGTGTGAGCACAAAGTATTTTGGGGGGCTTATAGAATTGGGGGGGG